GTAAAGGATGTTCCCATCTCGGTCCACAACGATGAAATTAAGAACGCCCTAAAGCAATTCGGATGCAAAATAATCGGAAACATTCAATACGTGAAATTTCGGATTAATGGCAAGCTTTCCAGATTCGTCAATGGAGATAGATCTGTAATCGTTGAGAAATTTAAAGGTAGTCTGCCAAGATTTACTATGATCAACAATTTTAAGGCAAGGCTTTTTCACAGAGATCAGTTCGACGTTATGAAATGCTTTCAGTGCAATGAGGTTGGACATAAGATTAGTAGCTGTCCGAAAAAGATCCCTTACAAGTGTCACAGATGCGGGAAAATGGGTCACAATGCTAGGTTTTGCAAGGATGCGCTCAAGCATTCGGATGAAAGCGACATCATCACTCATACTGAGAAAGACATGATGTCTATGACACCGGATCAAACCTATTTCATCAAACATCTGGAGAAAAGTACATACAAAAAAATGTCGCAAGATATCGTGGATAAAGGCAGCAGAGATAATAAGAAAGAGTCTAAATGGAGTCTTGGCATCAGCGATGAAAGCGAGAGTGATACAGCAACCAGTTGTAAAGAAGATACAGTAGAGGCAAGTGATGATGACGGGACAATGGAAGAGGTCCCTGGCAGCAGCCATGCTCCTGTAAAAAGTAAAGTCCAAAAGAGCATAATAAACTTCATCACGACAGCTACGCCACAGAGAGTTAACGTAACTGGCGACACCAAAGAACCTGAAAAAGAAAAATTCAACAAAGAGAAAAACGAACGTGATCCGCAAGTAGCGAATGTAATGAAGTCACCAAGTCCCGGAGAGAAAAGAAAGAAAAAAAGAAAGAAAACGAGTAAGAGGTAAATCTACGTTGATAGTTTAGTGCTATTTGTACTATTTGTTGTTAGGAAATGATTAAAGATAATAGCAGATGTTTACACTGTCTGTCTTTGAATGTTAGAGGGCTAAGAGTAAAACAAAAGCAAAGAGAAATTTTTAACTGGGCTAAAGTTAATAAGGTTGACATATTACTTGTCCAAGAATCGCATCTCACCAAAGATCTTGTTAACAAATATAATTTCCTTTGGGAGGGAGACTCTTATCACAGTTTTGGTAACTCCTTTAGTAAAGTGGTTTCAATTCTTGTACGAAAAGATCTTGATTACAGGTGTATAAATAAACAAATCGATGACACCGGTAGACATATTTTATTACATATAGATATCAGTGGTGTTCAATATGTATTGGTAAATGTATACGCACCAAATGATAGCAAAGAACGTAGTTCATTTTTTAGGAATCTCCAAAAGCATATGCAAACCTTCTGTGACGCACGGTATATTATTGTCGGTGGCGATATGAATTGCATTCAAGATAAGTCAATTGATCAGAAAGGTAGTAAAATGACTCTTTAATGCCTGTAAGATTAGTATATTTGTATTTT